CTTGATCCCAGGACCCGGGGATCATCACCTGAGCTGAAGGCAAATGCTTAACTGACTGAGCCACCCATATGCCCCTGGAATTTTTTTGGTAAAAAAAAGCTAGATATTAAAAATAGGTTTGGAGGAGCTATGAAAAACTTGAATATTTCTGTTAAAGACCTTGACTATAGACGAGAGCCAAATTAAGTCAAAGAGTAGACCACAGATTATGAGCTGTCTTGAACACAAGAATTTGATGTGATTTCGAGAAAAGGTAAACTTTTCAAAAAATGACCAAAAAAAAAAAAGATAAGCCAGTTCCTACAAGGAAGTCCAAAAGGACGATTTAAATTATTTGTTTATGATTTTCTCCATTCCTCACCCCCACAAAACAAGAAAACAGAAAAAAATTAAAAATTGGAGGAGGGGCACCTGGGTGGCTCAGTCAGTTAAGCATCTGACTCCTGATTTTGGCTCAGGTCATGATCTTACGGTTGTGAGATAGAGCCCAGCAACCCCGTCCAGGGCTCCCTGTTGGGGGTGGAGCCTGCTTAAGATCCTCTCTCTCCCTCTGCCCTGCCCCCACCCCTGTGCGCAAGCGCACTCTTCTTTTCTCGCTCTCTAAAACAAAAAACAAAACAAAACAAAAATTGGAGGAGGAAATGGAAAAAGCACAACAATAGTGATGCTTGAAACTACCATTCAGATACTATACTTAAGAGTGATTGACCATAAGACACACACACACACTTTCACTTTATTGTGTATATTTTTAAGAGAATGAAACAGTTTCCATCGCCAAGGATTTTGGCAACTCACCTCCATTATGACAAATTACCTGGGTCCATCTTCAAGAATAAAGCCAAGGTGAGTGTCCCTTCTTACTCATATTTCAATTTGAAGTTTTTAACGTCTAGATATTGCCTTTCTGAGCTATGTGATGAAGTTTGCATCTTACAGAATTTTAATAAATGAAGTGTGAGATTTAGTATTTCTTCTGTTGTTTCTTTCTTCAGATTATATTTGCTATAGTTTCATGCAAAGCAAATGCATTTTCAACTAAGATATAAAACATATACCTAGAATTGAACATATTTTAAAATCTGTTTTGTAGTGAATAGATTTCAGAATCCCACTAAGATATTTAGAGTGTTTAACAAAAGAGTACAATCTAGGAAAACAAGCAGAAGGGTTTTGTTGTTGTTGTTGTTGTTCTTTCTGGTGAGCATTATTTACCTGAGGTCTGAAACAATTTTATTTCTGAATTTCACATATAATAGCAAACTTCATGTCATGCGTACGTAACTATAGGTGCGTTGGTTACTCTTATCACTGTTTGATCTTCTCCCACCAAACTCTGAACATTATTTTCATTTTCCTTAATATTATTTTGCAATTTTTACTTTGCATTTTAACTTTCCAGATCATGCCCTTATGACTCTTCTAATGAGCTTGCTCTTTTTTCCTTTTCGATATCTTCTACATACAACTTTTTACTAAGTTCATTAGCAGAAGTTCTCTGCTACAACATCAATCTGCTTTTTCTTCTTTTTTCTCCCTTCTCCCCAAATTTCCCCATCTGCTACCCCCTCTTCTTCAATTTCTTACTGTCCTTCTTTCTCTATATGTGAACAAAATTAAGTCGTATACAGGATTACACAATGATATTGCTCACCCCTTCACTTTTCCAAAGTTCAAAACATAGACCTGAATAAATTAACTTAATTTTCTCTCCCTAGATATTGGTAGTATTTTGAAACCCTAAAGATACGGCAGTGTCTTTTTTCCATTTCCACAATGATGTCCCCGATATTCCAAGCTATGGCTCTTGGGATGAATTCTTCAGACAGTTCATGAAAGGACAAGGTACAGCTGTTGGCTAAATAATTCTTTCTTCAACAGATGACCACATTAAGTACAAAAAAATCAAATGTGTCTTACAGTAAAGAAAGAAAGAAGATTAAGGAGGATCCAGGAACCAAAAAGTTGCTTTTAAATGAAGTTTTATAGCACCACTAGTTCTGTTCATCAAACAATAATACATTAGTGTTTTTAAAAATGATTTGGGCAATTCATATGTTGACTATGAGTAGGGGGTAGGCATCGAACAGACATGGGACAGGGGCATCTGGCTGGCTCAGTAGGCAGAGCGTGTGACTCTCGAACTCAGGGTTGTGAGTTCGAGCCCCATGTTGAAGGATAGAGATTACTAAAAAAAATAATAATAATAAAAAAAAAAGACATCCCTTTAACATTTCTGGTAAGGCCTGTTGAGTGGTGATGAACTCCTTTAGCTTTT